TTTGGATGCATACCTTCCTAAGCCTGGATGGAGGGGGGAGGACCTTGGACTTCCCACAGACCAGGGTATCCTGCCCTCTCTAAGGACTGGAGGATAGAGAATATGCTTCAACTTAGTTATACAGGAAAGGACTCTGAATGCGTGGGCATTAAGACCAATAATTGGCAAATGGAACTCCATAGAACTAAAAACGCATCTGTGCAGCAAAGGAAAAATGCACTTACAGAACATGAAAAAATCTTTACCCACTGTATATCTGATAGAGGGTTGGTGTCTAGAATACACAAAGAAATCAAAGTACTGCCAAGAAAACAAATAGCCCAATTTAAAGTTGGGGCATGAAACTAAACATGGAATTCTGAGAGAGAGAGAGAGAGAGAGAGAGAGAGAGAGAGAGAGAGAGAGAGACAGCTGAGAAATATTTTTTAATGTTCAACACTTCTAGCCACTAGAAAAACACAAAGTAAAACTAATGTGAGATTTTATCCTACCCCATTCAAAGCTGTTAAGATTTCTTAAAAAAAATGGCAGCATATTCTGGCATGGTTGTGGGGAAAGGAGAACATTCACTGATGGTGGGAATGCAAACTGGTGCATCCACTACAGAAATTAGTGTAGGCTTCCTCAAAAAGCTATAAATATTTCCACCCTTTGAGCCATCTATACGGCCTCTGGCACATTCCCAAAGGACTGCATACTCCTACTACGGAGATACTTGTTTATCTATGTTCATTTCTGCTGTGTTCACAGTTGCCAGAAATTGGAAATGGCCTAAATGCCCACCAGCTGACAAATAAAAAATAAAAACATGGCATATATGCACATGGGATATTATTCATATGTAAAGAGAAATGAAACAATGCAGGTAAACGCACGGAGGTGAAATAACCATTCTGAATGAGGCAGGAAACAAAGACGCCATGGGTGGGGAACTCAAAGGAAATGGAATAGAACATAGATAGATCACAGGAGGCATGAAGGGGAAGGGGGAAACTGGAATAGGGAGGGTTAAGTGAGGTGGGGGATGGGAGAGCAGGGTAGAGAAGAGAGCATGTGGAAGGAAAGCCAGAGTCACAACGACCTTTGAAAAAATGCCATGAGGGGCTGGAGAGATGGCTCAGTGGTTAAGAGCCCTGACTGCTCTTCCAGAGGTCCTGAGTTCAATTCCCAGCAACCACATGGTGGCTCACAACCACCTATAATGAGATCTGGTGCCGCAGGATACTGTAAAAATAAATAAATAAATCTTAAAAAAAAGAAAGAAAAAAATGTCATGGTAGATGCCAACTATTGTAGAAGCTTCCTAAAATGTATACACATATAATAGGACTTTAAATTTTGTTACCCTAAAAGAATGGAATATCTTCCAGACACCATAGGCTGCCAAATAAAAAGTCCAATACCAAGTATAGGTTATCACTTTTCAAATTCTTGATCCATATGGTCTCATAGACCTCCCCCCTTAAATAGTATAAGCTATTATAATTGCTGTTGGTTACCTATTAAAGCTACTCCCTATGAGATTATGGGGGCCAGTTACATTCAAACTACCATCTGTCTTGGTACCCTCAAGTTCATTGAGTAATCTTGAATTCAGATCCTCTGCTCTCTACCATCTGAGTACCGTGATTACAGGTGTGAGAAGGAAGGCTATTGTTAATCAATGAGCCAGCTTTACACCTGACTGAGGTCCTGTTACCAGGTGACTTGGAGCTTAGCTATCTAGGGTGTTACCCACAGTCCAGGACCACTGGATCACCTTGGAGCCTATTACAAATGCAACATTTTCTCTTCTATCCTAGCACCTAGAAAAATGTGTCTCTGATAGCAGGTGCTCATTAAACACCCATTGAACTGTTCCAGAAATCAGACTTCTTCTGCCAGCCAGTCTCCCATGCTTACTCCTGTATCAGTGTGAGGCAAATCCTCTTACAGGTAGACATAAAGACAACTGTTGTCTCTAAGACGCCTCTGTTTCTTCTGTGTTTTAGTAATGTCCCAACACTGCTAGTCTTCCTTTTCATGTGGCTTGCTTGCCTATGTGTATACCAGGAAATTAGTCATCTTTCCCACTGAAATAAAATCTCTAGCCTTTGGGGTTGTCAGTGGGATAATGGAAGCCATCATTGACAAAGGAGGAAAAGCACCCACCTAAAATTCCAAGTATGGGATTGAAGGAACCTGCCTTCAGCCTACGGTTCCTCACAAAGCAGTCCATACTGGGTAGAGCCATCCCCTCACTATTAAACAGAGTTCCTGGAAATCTTCAATCAGAAGAAAAGAGGAAAGACATCCTGGCTTTGTACTCAGCTTTCCATTTTCTGCACAAAGCTCTCCCTGTCGGGTCATGCCCAGATGGTTGACACCAGAGGTATTTCCCTTCTTCCTCATGCCATTCCATGATTGCACCCTTCGGCTCAGCAGGCTGGCTCTACCAGAAACTTGCAGAGTATTTTAGCTAAACTACTCACTGCTGTGACATAACAGGCAAAAGTTCCTTCAAGAAGGGAGACTGTGTTTTGGATCACAGTTCAAGATGGCCAAGTGCATTGCGCTGGGGAGAGTGGGAGCCTGGAAGATGCTCTAGCTGTGGTGCTGACACCTAAGAAAGCTGTTCACCTTACATCTGAGCCAGGAGGCAGGAAGATGAGCTGGGCCAATCAGCTCATTTACCTTCCATTTTCTTCAGTCTAGGACCCCAGGCTAAGGGATGGCTCTGTCCACAGTCCTTCCCTCTGCAGCTAGCCTCTTCAGCTGATATGCTCAGAGACAACCCCAGAAATGTGTCTCTCAGGTGAGTCTAAATCCTGTCTAGTTGACCGTGGAGATCAAACATCACATATGAAACATATTCATTAAAACTTTCCATATCCAACCAACATAGATAGCTCTCCGTGTTATTCCTTGGAAACTACAGCTCCCAGACTTCCCCTGGATTACCGTCACCTGTGCGCGCTGGCGCGCCCAGGTGAAGACCATTACTCCCAGATAACCTTGCGCCCGCAGTTAAAAGCGAGCGCTCCACGAGGTTTCGCTCTCTTGCTCCCTTCCCCCNTTAAAAGCGAGCGCTCCACGAGGTTTCGCTCTCTTGTTCCCTTGGTCCTTCCCCCCCCCTTGTGTGTCTTGCACGTCCCGCCCTTATCGTGTTTCCCTCTCCCCATTAAAGCGCACCCACGTGGGAGCCGCGTGTCTGTCTCTTCCTTTGCGTGCCGTCTATCCCGTGTTTGTCCACACACCCACGCTGCCCCGCCGCCGTTTTTAAAGGAATAATACTCCGCAAACACAAAAATGTATTCATGTTTGTATCCCAGTATTTTTTTTAAAGATTTTTTTATTATGTATGCAGTGTTCTGCCTGCACAATAGGACACCAGATCTCATTACAGATGGGTGTGAGTCATTATGTGGTTGCTGAGAATTGAACTCAGGACCTCTGGAAGAGAGAAGTTAGTACTCTTAACCTCTGAGCCATCTCTCCAACCATGTATCCCAGTTTTGAGGTCAGTGTCTGATACATAAGTTGATTTTTAGTGGGTGACTTTAAAAAAAAAACATTCATGACTCATTCCACAAAATATAAGAACCTAAGATAGTGACAAGTTTGACCTAAATTTGCAAAGGATAAACAGTATATACTTTTACTTTTCTGTCCCAAGGATTCATCTTTTATTTTCAGTTCCTAGGTTTCAATCCTGCAAGTCAAGTGCTCTGTCAACTGAGTTCTGTCCCCAACCTTCAGTGCACTCTTGAGAGTGTTGAAATATAAAACTAGAACCCTGGGACAACCTGTGGAGTGGGCCCATCTTGGGCTAACTGGTATGTGGGCTAGTCTAGGCATAAAAATCTAGGTGTTCAGGGCCATAATACAAAACTCCCACTGATATAACAAGCAAAGGGTGCCAGGGGGGTCACTTGGGCTGTGATAAGTGCTTCTTGATGGGATCTCACTAAGGCCATTGTCTCCTTTTCATGGAGTCATTGGCAATCCCAAACTAGCTCTTGTTTGAAAGTTCAACTATGAGCCTGGTGATCACGACACAGCTTTAACCCCAGCTCTTGGGAGGCAGGAGCTGGAGGATCTCTGTGAGTTAGAGGCCAGCCTGTGAAAAGTTTCTGCACCCCAATAAGCCTCTCCACCGATTCAATAATCCAAATCAGACCAAATCAAATCAAATTAGAAAAAGCCCAGGTTTAATAGATACCAATGCTCCCGGGTTGTTTTCCAGCCCCCACAGAGAGAAGACAGGAAAGGAAGACCAGAAAACCACGTGTTTGTTCTCTTGGGAGGGGGCAGTTTAAATACCCTGTGGGTGTGGTCTTAAGTATCTCTGAGGAGGGGGTCATCTGTTTGGTAGGCTTTCCCAGGGGCGGGGTCTAAAATGAGGCAACTCCCAGGGAAGGGGGCTTGGGATGGAACTTCTTCCCAAACATTCCAGATTCTCTGGATATAAGGATGCCAATGGCTGGAGTGAAGCCTCAAATATTCCAGACTCTTTGGGTATATGGATGCCAGGAGCTGGGGTAAGGCTTCCACCAAAACAGCCTGGTCTACAGAGTGAGTTCCAGGACAGCCAGGGCTACACAGAGAAACCCTGTCTCAAAGAACAAACAAACAAAATTCAACTATTTTGTGGATTCCAGTCAACCTCTTGGTTCTCTAATTACTGGCTCTTCTCCCTTAGGCTAAACCATCTTACCTTTACCAGCGCTTCCTGCTACTCTGAAGACAGTCTCACTATTCATTTGTGGCTGGCCTGGAGCTCTCACTATGCAGACCAGGCTAAACTCAGCTCACAAGGGCTTGGATTTATGTGTGCACCTCAATGCCTGGCCTTACTGTAAAGTTTATTTACTAAAACCCACATCTACCTCTGTCACTCTTCATTTCTTGCCTTCCCTTCTGTCTTACTTACTTTGTTTGGTCTTTGGCTCTTTGTGCATCTCTCCTCTTGTGGGAAACTGTAAGTTCGAAGCTGTCAGTTATCTAGTGTTATCAGTTATCTAGGGACCCTTGTTGAATGTCACCCTTTATAAATTAAACTTGACAAAATGCCTTGATCAACAAAGGAAATGCACATGTCCCAGTAAAACAGTATACACAGGGCACAGATACGATTGGGGGCATGTCTGCTCATGATTTTGCTTTTATAAAGGCCCACAAGGAGTGCAGTAGAACTGGAAGCATTCTGACTTACTGAAGAGCACGTCGGCAAACATGTCTCACGAGAAACACAGATCATCAACCAACGTTACTGAGAACGGACATTGTTGACTCTAGATACAGGCAATCCTCGATGGATTCTTGATAGAATGGGACTGAAGGTAGATGTCAGAGCAAGCTAGAGTTGTTTGGTTATGACTCTAGATACAGGCAATCCTCGATGGATTCTTGATAGAATGGGACTGAAGGTAGATGTCAGAGCAAGCTAGAGTTGTCTGGTTACAAAGGGAAGAATGCTGAGACCAAGTGTCTCCGAGGGTGGAGGGAACTTAATTCTTCCTAAAATACTGTAGAAAAAAATGTAAGCATTATGTAGGTTAGAGTAGCAGGCTCATTCAGGAACATTTCTGAGGAAAAGTATTAAAACTGAACTTCTTGCATTTGCTTTGTTGTTTAATTTGATGGCTAGACTAAAACATCTACGAGACACTCATAAATGATATCAAACAAATTGAAAGAGACAACGTGGATTGGAATGGGCTCGCAGAAGAAATGAAATATTGACAGAACACAAGTGGGGCGGATAGTTTAGACCCCACATCATCGTTGGGGTAAACCTGAGCTAGCTTTTCTATTTCTACTGAATTGCATAAGGAATCAAGATAACATTCTGAAGTTGGGGGGAGGGAGGTTATACATGATATTGGCTCCCATCTGGGAAATGAAAAGCAGTTAAGAATGTGGTTATTCTAATGCTAATATTCAGGCATGGATGCATTTCCTGTTAAAGGAGCTGAAATGCAGGTGTTTGAAACATCTGTACCACCCTTCCTAGAAATGTTCCCCTGCTGTATTTTCCAGAGCTAAGAAAATTGCTCTCGCTGAGGAAATCCTAAAGGAATTTGAGTTCAGCAAAGCAAACAGGAAATACAATTCTGTTTGTGGAAAGCTCAGGAAACAAAAGCAAATCCCTAAAAAATGTAACTCCTGCTGAAGATTCTCAGATAATGGATGGGGATGTGGTGTGCCAGTGAGCTGATGGAATTTCCAGATGTATAGTATTTATCCCCATGAGTTCCATAGGCTTCTATGCTATGTAAAATAGATCCAGAATCTTATGCATGTAAATTCTAGAAGTTGCATGTCTGGATTTTTTTTTTTTATTAGAGCAACTTCTCTGTTGAGCTGACTTATAACCCAAGTTATGATGGCAGTGTGTATGTGTGTGTGTGCTTTCCTAAAGAAAAGTCCTCAAGGCCCCAGTAAAGGGAAATAGTTGAGATCTCCTGAGTAAACACACTGAATCCAAGATATAGCATGGCGTAGGGTTCTTCCAAGGAAGAAAATGTTTATATAACATGGCAGATCTCAATTTCATTAGTGATATGGAAATTTTTGTTCCAGGCTCAACTAAAGCAGTACAATTTCTTCTTTCCCTTTCTTTCTTGAGGAACGTAGGGCCAGAATCTGAAGTTCTTCTTCCCTATTTGTCTTCCCTCCAAGGTCTCAGGGTCTCTTACTAGCTTACAGGGGTGAGAGTTAACTTTAAGTACTGTTTCTTTATTACCACCCATACATTTTGTTGTTGATGTTGAAGTTCTATGGATGGAACCTAGGATCCTGTGCATCCAACAAACACTCTACCACCAAGCTACATCCCTGTTGTCTGAGTTTTCTGTCCTGCCTGGCTCTCACAGTCGTTAAGTCCCAAAGAAATCACACAGAGGCCTACATTAGTTATAAACTGATTGGCCCATTAGCTCAGGCTTCTTATTAACTCTTATACCTTATATTAGCCCATTATTCTTGTCTATGCTAGCCACATGGCTCAGTACCTTTTTCAGTGGAGCAGGTAACATCTTGCTTTTTCTGTGTCTGCGCTGGGACTGCAGAGGAATGGGCTTTCCTCTTTCCAGAATTCGCCTGTTCTCCTTGACCCGCCTCTATTTCCTGTCTGCTTGTCCACCTATACTTCCTGCCTGGCTATTGGCCAATCGGCGTTTATTTACAATATAATTGACAGAATATAGACCATGGTCCCACACCACATCCCCAGCCACTGTCACATTCTGTGTCAGATTCCTGTGAGTTCATCTTAATGCTAATGCTTTTACACAATGGAAAGCAATAAAGAAGTCTTCCTAGTTACATAAGCCTTCAACCAAACACCTAAATTCAGTGTTACTCAGGGATGCAGTCGTCCTTACTAATCTAGCCAGGCACTTCATGTGAACGAGGAACTAACAAAGACTGTAGAGAGATTCATAGACTTGATAATAAATGGGAATAGTCCCCGAGAACGTGTTTATGGAGTGCTAAAGACTGTAGAAAGTTCAAGCAGAATGAAGATGGAGAAAGACCTTTTGTACAAAGTGATTCAAGAGCTCATCAAATGCTCAGGCAAACTTGCAGTTTTACATAGAAAACACATGGCTTATTGTTTTAATAAGCAGTTGTTTTAATAAGCAGAACCATACAAACACCGTAATTTCAGAAAAAAATAATAAAAAAGAGATTAAACAGTCACAAGTTCTGAGTTCCTGTTTATTCCATTAGGCCACTATATATTAACTGGGATTCTTAAAAGTAATTTCAATTAGGACCCTCTTGAGACCCTCATCAATTATTTCAAGTGTTTTAGTCTCAAATACATTCCTTTCTTCTACAAACTTCTGAAAGAGATGAACACCACCACCAACACCAAAATAATGTGCTTTGCTGGCCAGAAGCACCCGGCCATTCCTACTCAACAGTCTGAGGAACGTTTCATGCAAAGCGCTGTAATAATCTGGATTATAAATGGTTTCTGAGGTGAGAATGAGGTCATATTTTGCAAAACGTTTTTCACTTAATACAAGCTTACAGAACTCAGACCACTCCCCGGAGAAAAACCGACATTTACATGTTTCTTGGGCTGCTTTTGACTTCCTTTGTCTTTTCCCTTCTGGCTCATTTACATCATTGCCCTCATCTTGCAAAGGGAAATTAGCGACTACGTTAGGTAAGGTCACTTCGTCGATCACTAGACTGTTATAATCTTGAAAATGAACTTCGATAGCTCCTCCTTTGGACGCAGTTATTCCAAGCAATCCCGATCCACACCCAAGATCCAACACTTTTTGCCCAGCAAATGTCACTTTGGCCTTTGAGAAGTAAGTCAAGAGGTCAAAAGTACACTCCCAGATTTTCAATCCTCCTTCATAGACACCTGGAATCAGATCAGAATGAGAAGAAAAGCTTTTTGAAACTATGTTTTCTCCAGGGAATTTCTCTTTCAACAAGACCGTTTTCACTACCGCTATGTTGACATGGGGACCCGGCAACATTTCTGTAACCGTATTTTCTAAGACTTGATTTAAATCTTTAGGCATAGCATGTTCTTTAGCACCTGATCCATCAGCTGCACTGTCGGTGTCTTCAGAGGAAGCTGCATTTCCCATAGAGGATTCCCACAAGCCATCGGGAAGCAAGTCTGACTGTTCTGCAGAACACTTTCTGTCCTGCTTTCCGTTTTGACTTTTGGAGACCGGTGGTTCTTTTGATGAATCCAGGGTCAAAGTTCCATCTCCAAGGGGTGTTAATTTATTTTCTACATCCTCTTCTATACTAAAGTTGAATTGAAAGGCCATCCTCTGATTATATGGACACTCGCTTTATCAAAGGACGATGCTTCAACTTCTGGATGGGATAGAATGGCTTGATTCACACAGTCAATTAGTTCTGTTGGGATCAATGTCCGTTAGCTGCTTAACCACCACTGGATATATTTAGAGAGGCTTCCAAAGATTTTTCAGGGGCCTTTGTTCCTCTTTCAATTCGGCCCTGGAAATGAGGAAGAAAGAGAGAGGGAGGGAGGGAGGGAGGGAAGGAGGGAAGGGGGGAGGGAGAAAAGGAAGAAAAACAGAAAGAAAGGAAGAAAATGATTATTTTTTAAAAAGCTGTGCGTATAGGGGGGTGATTTAGGAAATTACACAGATTGATTTATGAAATTACACAGAAGCCGTTAAGTATCCATAAGTAGAAGATAAAATATAAAAGCAAACAAAAGAACAGCTATAGCAGCAACCACCTTTACCAGAACAAAATATGAAGCCCAAGATTTTTATACAGGACAGACTAGCTACTCGGGGTGTTTTAGCTGTCGTATGCCCCCTACTTTCCGCCCCATCTTCATCTCTGTCTGCTAATCTGCCTCCACAACAGTTTTAGGTCTTATTTGGGTAAGAAAGACATCCTTTTTCAAACACGTAAAGGTGTAATGTGGCGTTTAGAAATCCACCCGAACGGCGTATTTAATCAAGATCGTAATTCGAAACGGCGGAATGAATGAAGACCAGAACTGTAGAAAGTAAAATCGACTGTATAGAAACATTTTTAGCCACGTAGCCGACTTTGTATAACACCCGTTTTAATCTGCACACTTCTGGAAGGTGGAAGTTTCACTTGGCAGGAGCTGGACGGTGTGTGCGGGGAGAACTCGCACCCCTAAAATTATTCCTACTTTGCAACCCCCTGCACTGTGGGGCTGAGAGTCATTCCCGGATACAGGACCAGCTCACCCTTGACCCTACGCGCAATCTCAGAGCCCCCTGGCACCGAAGGTAACAAACCTGAGGACTTCAGGTCTCAGCACTCGAATGACAGAAGTCAGGGTGAATGAAGTACCGGGGTGTCCGGAACTCGTGGCGGAGCTTGCCACGGGCACACCGTGCACACCAGCGAGATGAGTCCTCCGACGGCTAGAGGAAACTCTAGGCGCGTGGGGGCGAGGGGCCGCCTCTCTATGGTTGCGTGTGGGTGGAGCGCTCTCAAAGGCTGCCGGGACAGCGTGCCCGCGGTTCCAATCTGTGGCGGGAGTTGCTCGAATCCGTTCGTGGCTGACGGCGCAAGAATGTCTCAGGACGACGAGGCGGAGGCAAACCGGGCCCTGCTGGATAATCTCAACAGTTGGTCGCGGGAGGTGTGCCGCCGGGAGCTGCCTTCGGTGCTACCCCGGCTCGTCATATCCTTGGAGGACGCTGAGGGGCGGGCCGCGAGCCTTCTGGCGCGCGGGAGCGGGCGGCCTGTGGCTGGGCTCGAACTCTAGGCGTTTACGAGGAGGTGGCGGTGGAGGGAGCGAGGAGGACAGCGGTGGGTGCAGGGCCTAGGCCCGCCCGGCGTTGTCGGACGATTGCCACTGGAACTGTTGGAGATGACTGGCGTTCTCACGCCTTAGTGTTGTTCCTCTGTCCCTTAGTTTCCCCATAGACTCGCTGCCGAGTGTGAGAGTTGCCAGGCGCTGGCGCCCAGTATCTGGAGTGTGAGAATTGAAGGTTGTAGTTGGAGTTATTCCGTGGGACCACATCTTTATAGGATGTTCTGTAAACAAAAAAATGCTTTCCCCTTTCAAACCGCAGTTTCCTTTTTAGCTAGAAAGCGTCGCTGCAGGTTTTGGCTTTAAATGCATCGGAATTGCGCGCTGTCGGTGGAATGATACTTAGTGTCGCGCTTTGTGTTTATAATTGTAACTGGATTCGACCCCCTTCATGTTAAAAGGTGATCTTAGTATTATGTGGTTCTACCTTCTATATAACATTACACACACACACACACACACACACACACACACACACACACACACACCACACCCCCCCCCCCAAGACCAAACGACCATCACTTACTTTCTCAAGAGTGCACACCTGCACGAATGATGTTTCACAATAGAGCAAGTATTTCTACCATGTTAAAGTCATTCCTTAAATGGCTCTAAGGTCCGTTTTTTTATACTCCTTGTGTGAATACGGAGTTATTTTGCCTTCTAGATAAAGTCTTGCTGTGTAGCCCTGGCTGGTTTGCTACCAGCTACACACAGCAGACTAGTTTTGAGTTTGCAGTGAGCCTGCGTCTGCCATGCTCGAATTATATGTGTGCTAGCCTGGAAGGCTGTCTTTGTGGAATTTCCTCCTGGAAACAGCTGTTTTACTACGTTTATTTATGTAATGTGTGCTTGCTATAATGCTAGGGAATGAAAATAGAGTGTTTTTCTCCCCCAATCTTACAGGAGCCCTCACTAAGTTCAAAACACCATTTCTACCTTTCCTTGCTGCCTACTGAGAACTCAGATCTCACTTCCAGGTTTTCTTCTGTAAGTAAACCTTGGATACTCATTTGTAACCAGCATACTGTGGCTTCTGATTCTAAATTACTTCTTGAATCCTCCTGGCTCCCCTGCTGTCACTGTGAGTCCAGTCTCGTAATATTTTCCTTGTTTCTACATAATTCTTCTATAATCTATTCTTACAAACTTTAGGGTGGAAAGCAGCTCACTTTATTTCTCCTTCACGTACCTATGTGACTTATTTTTTGTTTTGTTTGGTTTAGGCTGGCCTTGAACTCAGAGATCACCCACCTGCCTCTGCCTCCCCAGTGCTGGGATTAAAGGCATTAAAGGCCTGTGCCACCACTGCCCTGCCTGTGTGTCTTAATTTTAAGAATACAGTCTGAACATTGCTCATAATTTGAGCCTGTCCCTTCCTTTATACCTAGCTAGGTAGCTACACTCAGTCCCCAAGTTGACCTCCTTCAGAATCTTTGTTCTCAGCCTAATTTGTTTTCCAGCCTTTTCAACATCTCATTCCAGTCTTCTTCAGAGTACTTCCTTAGAGGAGCCATTTCACAGCCCTCAATCTCAGGTAGCTCCCCGAAACCTGTCTTAGGATTTCGATTGCTGTGGTAAAACACCATGACCAAAATCATCTTGGTTGATAAAAGGGTTCACTTCAGCTTGAAATTTCATATCACATTCCATCATCAAGACAAGAAGGCAAGCAGAGCAGGGAAGAGGATTGCTTACTAGCTTGCTCCTTGTGGCTTGTTCAGTCTGCTTTCTTAGAGCACCCAAGACCACCAGCCCAGGGGAGTGGTACTGGCCAAAGTGGGCTGGGCTCAAACATCAATTAAGAAAATGCACTACAAATCAATTGATTGAAGCTCATATGAGCTCACAGACTGAAGCAGCAAGCATAGGGCCTGCATGGGTCTGCACCAGCTTCTCTCTGTCTCTGTCTGTCTGTCTGTCTGTCTGTCTGTCTCTCTCTCTCTCTCTCTCTCTCTCTTTCTCTCTCTCTCTGTATTATAACTTTCAGCTTAGTATCTTTATGGGATTCCTGCATAAGTGGGTCTCATTCTTGTACTTTCTCCTGTTGTTTGTCTTGTCCAACTTAGATGTGATAGTTTTTGTTTTATCTTATAATTTATTTTGTTAAGTTTTGTTATTTCTTAGAAGCCTGTTCTTTACAAATAAGAGTCCAAAAGGGAATGGTTCCTGATGGGAGGAGAGCGAAGGAGGAACTGGGAGGAGTAGAGGGAAGGGAAACTGTAATCAGGATATATTGTATGATAAAAGAATCTGTTTTCAATAAAGGGGGTTACACTACAGACTAGCCAACAGGCAAATCTTACAGAGGCATTTTCTCAGTCTAGAGTCCCTTCCGAATGACTCTAGCTTTTGTCAGTTTGACATAAAACTAGCCAACACACCACCCTGTTACATTTATGGCGTTTATGGTTTTCTGGAGACCATTTGATCCTTATTTGCTCCTTCCCATTTTTCCTCCTAACTGTATTTTGTAGAAGAGAGTCAGGCATTTGGTTTTGTTCACTGTTTTATCCTCACCACTGAGAAGAGTGACTGGCACATATGTGTTCAAGAAAAATAACTAGATATCGCAAGTAGGTTTGCAACATTTAGTATTTTACTTTCATTCTGTAGAACAAATGGAAGAAAAGTGCAATATATCGTAATCTATCACCTACCAAAATTAGCTTCTTATTTTTTACTTTATTATTGTCCAGTCATTATCTGAATATTTGTGTACTTATAAATTAATTGTGAAGTAGCAAGCTTTCTGAATTTAAACTGGAATTGTTCCAGTTGGCAGATTTTACTCTCCAGAACTAAAAATTTTGGGGTTTCCTCATTTTGATTGTAGTTATAAAATATGCAAAGTAAAAGTTCAGAAGAGGGGTTTTTATGATAGTTACAGGTAACTTCTTGACATTGCACAAGGGTTCTTTCTGCTTTTACAATAAAATATTTCTAATAATTCTAAGTGATGTAAAAGTATAGTTTATACTGTGTTTATTGTTAACCCTCATATCATAATTAAAAGTTGCAACAATTTGCAAGATCCTGCTACAACAGAAGATTTCAGTCTGGTAAGGTTGGTGTGATAGACATGTAAGTAGCATGCAGTTAAGCCAGAGACAAAGGGTAGAAGTGCTAAGGAGAGTCTATCCTGTCATAGAGCCTGGGACTCTGGATTATCTTCCACCAATCCTGAGTATCTCATGACTTAGTATAAAGTTACTTAGCCTTAAGTAATACTGAATTCCTTTAACATTTTCACAAAACCTTTGTTCATATGATAAATGTTAAATTTTCAGAGGTCAAAGAAATAAGGGTTTTGTGTATAATTTCAGTCTTTTAGGGGAGTATTGGTAAATTTTAAGAGTCCCTTTTGAATTTATTCCTTAATTACTTTTTATTTACTTTATGTATCAGCATTCTGAGAGATGGATTGAACATATACGTAAGTAAAGTTGTTTTGTGTATTTGATGTTGTGTATGTGTATGTCAGTAGATGACTTTGCAGATTTATGTTACCATCAACGTTAATCTTTATTGTAGCTTTGGTAACTTCCTGTTACATAAAATGAGCCAATTCCTTCCAACCATAGTGTTTTTAAGTTTTGAATTCCATTTTTGATGATGTATAAGCACATTGAAATTTTATGCTGTGATAGGACCAAGAAAACACCAGTTCAGTTTGTTAGAACCTTCAGCCTCGTAACATACTTAGTGTCATTTAGAAAGTGCTCTGAGTTCGGAAAAGCTCATTGTCTAGATGATGACAAATTTGTCATTTGGAAAATTTTTACTCTCATCTCCATCTGTTTTCATGATTTCTTATAAGAAATCTGTTTTCTGATGTCCATGCATACTATGGCATTTGTGTGCATGAACTTAAACATATAAACATGTACACAAAACATGTACACAGACAGAATCCCTTTTAGAGAAGAGATTATGATGGGAGCTATGTCATCTCAATCCTTACATTTCTCTCAGCCTTGCTATATGAGTCATTATATTTATCTGTTTATATAATTGCTAAATTTTGAATATTTGCCATTTTGGAAACACATTTTTTAAAAAAATGTATTTTAATGGTAGTGAATCCTGTTGAGAAGAGGTATTCATACCCATTTAATTTATTTAGCTTGTCTTCAGTTGCTGGGTGTAATGACTGTTTTTGTTTTCTTTCTTCCCTTTTTCTTGTATTATACTTTTTACAGTGAAATACTTAAGTTTCTCTGTAGATTATGGTATTTGAGACTTGCAAGTTGGGTTGACATTGCATACATGTTCTCATATTTGAAAAAGGACAGTTACTGACTGACATGGTATGATAGTTTTCAAAATATGTTTTTTTGCTCTATAGGAATTTTGAAAATCATTACTGATAATTTTTTGCCTCATATGAATCACCTGACACTGGAACAGACTTTCTTTTCCCAAATTTTACCAAAGGTACAGTTTTGTGGTAATTTGCATACTATAGAAGATATTAAAATCTGATCTTAACTTTATATAATCTGTTCCTAATTTTCTTAATTCTCTTATTTTTCTTATTTATCAAGTATATTCAAGTGCAAATAAATAGTAAAAATAGTTCACTTTTGTGCTAATTTGAGATATCCTTATAATAATACAACTAAAGTTTTTTGTATCTAATGTTCTGTAGTATAACATTTCATTGCAATGTGTTTAATTTGGGAATAGATAACTGTTCAAGTAGCTTCATAAACCTAGTTGCATGATGTTTTTATTTGTGAGTTCATTACTATAAAGTGATTTTTATATTTAAAAGGGTGAACTAGTCAAAATATAAGTGAGTACCACCTAGTGGATGTCACACACCTTTGATCCCAGCTCTTGAGAGGCAGAGGCAGGCAGATTTCTGTGAGTTCAAGGCTAGCCTGGTCTACAGAGTTCCAGGACAGTCAAAGCTCCATAGAGAGAGCCTGTCTCACAACACAAAAACAAACCAAATATATAAATGAGTTCTAAATATAAGACTCAATATAAATTCATAACCAATACCAAGAAATGCCCTTGTAAATGCCATAGGATATTGGTTGATTAGGGTTTTTTGTTATTTAGAGTAGTACTTGGCGCTTGTTACACCCTCAGATGAACTTTGAATGAGTTATTTTTCTATTACTAAATACATTGACACCACAGAAATGAAAAGCAAAGTAAGACTTGGGGCTTTGTTTAGGGGCTCCATTGTAGAAGTACTTTTAAATCGGGACCAGTGGTTAGCTGACAGTGGATAGTTGGGATTAATCAGGTCATTGTTATGTTTTTTTCCTTCAAAGATGTCTTTTTTCCTAGTGATTTCTAGTCCTGTTTATAAGCTGATTTGTTTTCACAGACTGTGAAATTATTTGATAGAATGATACGTGAATTAACCACCGAAGCCAGAGAACTCTCAAGCCAAAATTTAGAAATCCAGGTCACTCTAAGGAATATTTTACAAGTAAGTAAGTATATTAGAAAAAGAATGGAGCTGGGTGTTGTGACATGCTTAAGGCAGGAGATGCTTCTGTTTAAGGGCAGATGGGGTTATACAGTGAGATCCTGTCTCAAAAGAAAAAAATGAGAAGTTTTTTGTAGCAGGGGTGGTGCCTCATGCCTGCCTATTGTACTAGGGAGGTTGAGGCCAGTCAGGGTTAGGGAGTGAAATCTTGTCTTCGAAGAAACAAGACAAACCATTTATTCTTCATGAAATGGCATAATGCTTGAATTAAATTTATGGACTTAAATACATATTAAAGGTCAATTTCTGAATTTTTAAAAAAGATTTATTCATTTATTTATTATGTTTAGAGTATTCTGCCTGCATGTGTACCTGCACCCCAGAAGAGGGTACTAGATCTCATTATAGATGGTTGTGAGCCACCATGTGGTTGCTGGGAATTGAACTCAGGACCTCTGGAAGAAGAGTCAGTGCTCTTAACCTCTGAGCCATCTCTCCAGCCCCAATTTCTGAATTTTTTTAAATATAATTTTATGTTAGTTGTCTTAGAAGACAAATCAAGATAGCTCCCTGAATTTGGTTGTGATTCTGAGTGATGTTCTGAGAGAGTGAAGTTCACTGAAAAGAGAGGGGCACATAATGTTACTGCTGTAGGTCCAGCACTCAGAATGCTATCTAATTCCTTTGTTGCCTACATAAAAGTGTGTCTTGAACCAACCTTTCCTTTCTTCCAGACAATGGTGCAGATCTTAGAAGGCCTTACAGGATGTGTTCATCATATTTGTACCACACAGCAATCCATCATTCTAGAAAATATTCATAGTCTTCCCTCATCCATCCTGCATATAATTAAAACGACATTTGTACATTGTAAGGTGAGTAGAGGGTCTATGTAGAGTTTAAATAGCCTGGAATCTGTAGGCAGAAGTGCCAGATAAGTGTTTATGCATAAGGTTTTACATTTTGATAATGGGATAGACTTTTCTGGAGCAAAGATAAACTTAATTGTTTCACAAGTGATTAGAAGGTGATTTTGGAATTGAATTTCCCTTTCCTTAAAAAAAAATGGTTAAGATTTATGTGTAACCGCAGGAATCTTGAAATTGTTCTGTTAGATAGCAAAGTGGGTTACTTAATTTAGTCCTTCTTAACATTATGGAGGCAGCTGGAAAGCACAAAAGATGGCTTAGCATTTGTAGGGCACAGGCAGTTTTGTTATCAATGTTTTGGGGTAAATGTCAAATTGCTCATTAACAAGACTTGTGCATGGTGGAAGGGGGCTAAAATGGGCACTGTTTACATTCCTGCATCTATCAAAGTGCATTTAGTAAAGTGTGATTCTGTCAGAACATTAAGTTTATGATCTCAGTCTCTGATAGTATGGACTAAAATAAATTTGAATTTTGAGCTGTTTGTGATCTGTTTCTCTTCTTTTTATATTTTATGGTCAGAATAGTGAATCTTTGTATTCTGGACGCTTACACCTACTGTCAGACCTCCTCCAGTCTGTTTTCAGGGAGGCCTATTCTCTCCAGAAGCGGCTGATGGAACTGCTGGACAAGGTTTGCATGGGCCCTTCAGTAGATGAAAATAACACTTTGTTGATGGTAGAAGGTGAGCAAAGAATTATTGATTAGAATAGGGTGAAAATGGCTATAGTTCATTAATCAATTAAATCATCAAACTAATGTTTCTCTTTATGCATGCTTTCTTGCTTATGTATAAAAATAATATAAATCTCCCTACGTAAATTTTTGGTCTTTTAAATTTGTAAAATTTAGTTTTTATATTTTATTATCAATCTGAATATCCAGTAAAATATATAGTATGTAATTTCCACGCAAAGGATTTAACAAATAAAGGATTTATGTAACTTTATACTCTTTAAGCTACTCTATAGTCTGAGAAAGCAGTCTTTAGTTTTTTTTTCTCTTTAAACCCATAACAAAAAGTGTGGGGGGAGGGAGCTAAACTCCTTTCTGGAATTGTGTGTGTGTGTGGGGGGGACTTTTGAATGTGTACATGTATACCGACACACATTTATTATAATAAATATCTATTGGGGGCTGGAGAAATTGCTCAGTGGTTAAAAGCACTGGCTACTCTTCCAGAGGACCCGGGTTCAAGTCCCAGCACCCACATGGCAGGTCACACCTGTCTGTAGCTCCAGTTCCAGGGGATTCAACACCTTTACACAGACACACATGCAGGAAAAACAACAATGTACATAAAATAAAAATAAATAAATTATAAAAAAAATAATAAATATCTATTTTACATGTATTATACTCTATTATTTCTTTTTCTTTTTTGGGAATTAAGCCCAAGGCCTTGCACATACTATTTCATTCTACAAACTTGTTAAATGTTAGCCAGGTGTGATGGCACAGGCCAGCATAGCACTTTGGAAGCTGAAGCAAGAGCTTACAGGTTCTAGGTGGCCTAAGCCACATAGTAAAGCCCTGACTCCCAAACACAGTACAGAAGCTACTGATTGTAATCTGTGTCATTGATTTCATCGCTTATTAATGATTATGATCTAGAATTTTAAAAATAATGCATTAATGTAGGAAAGCAAAGATTATATTTCTAACTTTACTGTTAAGAGTATAGGTTGATTGTGGACCAATATTGGGTACCTTTTGCTCTCTAAGTAATCAACCTGAAAATCTGTTGTTTAAAAAAGTGTTTGTGCTTCAACTTAGACTGGCATTATCTGCAGTAATTTTCTGTGCATCTAGCTCATTCCTGCATATGACTAAGAACGTCCTTCACCTCTGGCTGTTTGCAGAGGCAGAAGTGGTGAGAAAGTCTGTATGTTATTTAACACAGGCCCAATCACTTACAGCTTTGGGGTTTCCAAGAATAACAAAGGGAGGACAAGTCCCAGCACACCAGATCTTGGCTTGTTTTGCTTTGATCATTGTTCTTTTATCAAATCAAGTTAAAGATCTGTGCCCAGAGACATTTTTATGGCCAGAGAAGGAGCCGTTGGAACCATTTTTACAAGCTTTCTAAAACAGCTAGAATAAAACACTTGCATGAATGTAAGTTAGTATAAATTAAGTTGCAGTTCTTGTTAGGTTTTCTTAGTAGTTTCTTTTTTTTTTAAATTGTATCTCTAGAATATTTCAACTACAATAGGACATAACTTTTATTCCACTGAAGTTTTTTTTTTTAATTTCTTTTTGTTTATTTGTTTGGTATTCTAAGACAAGGTTTTTCTGTATAAAAGTCCTGGCTGTTGATGGTATACTGGTAAGCATAGATGCCTTCCACTGAACATTTTATAATAGGACATAACTATTAGTTTACTGAACATTTTTTAATAGGACATAACTTTTATTCCACTGAACATTTTTGGTTTTAATTGTCATTAGATAGATGTGAACTGCAATATCACAATATCAATATTTCTTTCCTTCCTTCCTTCCTTCCTTCCTTCCTTCCTTCCTTCCTTCCTTCCTTCCTTCCTTCCTTCCTTCCTTCCTTTCTTTCTTTCTTTCTTTCTTTTTCCGAGACAGGGTTTCATTGTAATTTTAGAGCCCTGTCCTGGAACTAGCTCTTGTAGACCAGGCTGGCTTCGAACTCACAGAGATCCGCTTGCCTCTGCCTCCCAAGTGCTGGGATTAAAGGTGTGCGCCACCACCACCCAGCTCAATATTTCATTATTGAAACCTTAAAAATGTAACCTTTACTTTCAGTAATTATTTTCAAACTAGTACATATTTTAATTCTTCAGTCAAGTGTTGAGATGTTCACTTGATCCATTTAAATATAAGAAAATATCTCATATAACATTTGATTATCCTGAGAGATGTGTTATTCTTCTCTTTAGTTATTCATTCGCTATTGGATATCTGCTCTGTGATCTCGGGTATGGACCAAGCATTTCATGCCAATACATGGAAATTTATAATTAAGTAAGTTTGTTAGATTTTCTTTTTTGTACTGTGTTTTCTATATCTCAAATTCTAAATAGTTGATGGTTTTAAGATTACATTTGAAAAATTTTTGTGGTTGTATGGAAACTCATTGATTCTGCTGCATGATGATTCAGATATTTGTACATGTAACTTCCAAACCGTTTTTTGAAAAACAAACAAATAAAATTCCCTACAGTTGTAGCTAGTTAGCTGGTAGTTCTGAATAATGGACCGTGAACCATAGTATGCCCGAATTCATGTGCTTGCAACTACTGTTAGATAATTATCAGTATAAAATAAGGTATTTCTAAGTCAGAAATTAGTAATTTTATTTGTAGTTGACACTAATCTCTTTATTATATACAGTTGAGTTGTTCAACACTAATTCTACTTTTCAAATAATTTTAACTTAATTGAAGCCTTTTAAGGGTTAGTAGGCAGAGTACCTATAGTCGATATTAGATGCTGAGGGATGTCCCTGATTATCCTGCATGAATAATTAAATCAGTGTAACTCATTTTAGGCACCTTTCTTGTTTTCTCAGGATGTTAACTTGCAAAAAAGTAATAAGAGTGTTACTTGTTTACCATAGTATGTGTACCTGACTCCTTGAAACCTCTCCTCTGAGTTTTTAGACAATTTGATTAGTTTTTCATCTTAAAATAGGATAATCATAGCACTCTCTATAGTGTTGCACTGAATATTGAGGTCACATGGCAGGCACCTGTAAATGCTCAGTGAAGTCTCCACATGGCCGTGTCCACCCCACCAAACCAGCATCATTGTCATCTCTCCTTCCTTCTTGCTCTTTTCCAGGTACTCTGTTTTCAGAGTGATAGATTTAAAACTTAAATTGGATCATATCACCCAATTTCTTAAAATCTCCCACCATATAGAGCAACAGCTTAAGCCTTTTTGGACACATCTTCCTTTACCAGCCCCCTGCTGCTTCTTGCTTTCTGCTCTCAGTTCTTCAGATTCAGGAAGTTCTCTGTCCTAGGCCCTTCCTTCCACAGCTTTGCAGAAGCTGTTCCTCTCTTCTACTTTGTAATGTAAGCTTCTACTTATCTTAATTTCTGGGTGACAGCATTAACATTCTTGTAACATTGTTTCATAGTAATAGGACTTTCTCAGCTTAGCATTTACTGCTTATTCTATTCTTACGTTATTTGACATTTTCATATTAGGTCATATATTCCATATAGATAGCGCAAAAATTATGTCCATTTGATTTATTTTTTATCCTCAAGACGTAGCAGAATGGTTGACAAATACAAGTTCAGTTATTTATACAAGTTCAGTTATTTTACAGAGACAAAAATTTAGCCACTAGCTTTAAAGGTAAAGTTGGATCTTAATTGTACCATGTTTAATATATACTACATTGTTTTGTTGAAAATGTTATATAAGGTAGGTGTTCTTTGGGCCTGAGTTGATTGATGTTATTTCATGTTTCTTCTGGTGATTTTATTTTTCTCTTTTTATCGATTTAGGCAGAGCCTTAAACACCAGTCTGTTATAAAGAGCCAATTGAAACACAAAGAGATAATTTCTAACTTGTGTGAAGACATTGTTTTCTCCTTCCATTCTTGTTTGCAGTTAGTTGAACAGATGGCACAGCCAGCTGCACAGGTAAAATGAAATCTGACGACACCACAAAGGGGAGTTATTGTTTTCACAGTTGTTAAATCTGATTGAACATAAAGATTATGGTCTAGGGTTTTAATTATTTTCCCTTAGAAAATCTGTAGAATTATTTACAACTCATAACTACTTTTTACCTAGAACATTGTATTACGTTCATTTTTTTCACTTACAATAGCATTTACCTGCCCATCATTTTTACAGACTTAGTTGGTCAGAGCATTGTCCTCAGAATCTTTTATTCTTTTCTGACCTCGAACAAAATTGTAGTTTCTCTGTTTTACATTTCTTTAAGGTCTTCCTAATATAGAGATTGTCAGCCTTTCTGTCACCAATGCATTATAACCTTTAACAGTATATATCTGTAGGTGTTTATTCTTTCTAAAATTGATAGATTTCTTTTGATTTCAAGAAGTTACTGTGTTGAATTGACATCACCTTAATGAAATAAAGGCTGCATTCTAACTAAGCATGCAGAATAGGGTTGTTTGAAATCACAATTCATCTTTCTATAAAAGTATATTAGCACAATAACTTTTGTTTTAGACTAACTATAAATTTATTTAAACATCCCTGAGTTACAGAATTGATGGACCCAGGAACTAATATGTTAACTTTTATGGGAAGATGAGTTGAATATTTCTTTCCCAAATGTCAGAAATATGACTTCTCCTCTTGTAGATCTACAACTGACTGAAAGTTCCTTTGCGTCTGTGTTCTTCCCTATCAAACAGCCTTGGGGATAGAAGTGTAGACGTTTAATCCAAGTTCCCAGACTGATGGCAACTACTGCTGGAACAGGGATAGTCTGACAGTTTAGATCCAAAAGGAACGTAGGACTTTGAAAAGGAGCTCTGAAACATACAGACGTGAAGGATAGTTGTAGAAAGAGCTTCACTTTTTTCTTATTTCTTTTTTTTTCTTTCTCCTTTTAGATGCCTTCATTTCTCCTTTTTATTTCCTCACTCCTGGTTCCCTTTCTGATTCCCAGGACCTCACTGATAGGAGAGATTACCTGAGTATCCTGTGTCAGTGGCAGAGAACTTAACCCAGCAGTTTGCAACCTGTGGGTGGTGACCATTTAGGGTCGAATGACCCTTTAACATGGGTTGCCTAAGATATTGGAAGACACAAATGTTTACATTAAGATTCATAATAGTAGTAAAATTATAGCTATGAAATAGCAATGAAAATGATTTTATAGTTGGAGGTCACCACATGAGGAATTGTATTAAAGAGTGGCAGCATTAGGAAGGTTGAGAACCTCTGATATCTTGAGTCTTAGCCTTCTTTTCAATTTCTCTTTTGCTTGATGCTGCAGATTCACCTATTAGTAGTAAAAGGAAAATTAGGTTCCTGGCCAGGTGAGAACTGAGGAAAACCCAAAGAATAGTATAGCCTGGAGTGCAAGCTGAAAGAAAGTCTGGGAGGTTCCTAGATAGAGTAGCTAAGTGTATAATAAATATATATTAATTTATTTTAAATAAATTGGCTGTATGATAATGAAATTGAATTGAAACTTTTTCAACCAAATTCTCATGTTTTACTTAGTTGTGCTTTTTTTTTTTTTTTTTNTTTTCGAGACAGGGTTTTTCTGTGGTTTTGGAGCCTGTCCTGGAGCTAGGTCTTGTAGACCAAGCTGGTCTCGAACTCACAGAGATCCGCCTGCCTCTGCCTCCCAAGTGCTGGGATTAAAGGCGTGCGCCACCACCACCCGGCTAGTTGTGCTAATTTTGGACTGATAAATGTGACCAACTCTGTTCACTGACTGAAAGAGTTCTGGGATGGCTTTTATGTCCAGTCTTTTGCTCACTGTAGTCAGCAGTGCCTTCTGCTATTCACTGTTGATAATTAAGGTGTTTCCCAGGTAGTAATCATCTTGTAGTAGTCTACTGTTCCTTCTACACCAGAATACCTGAAACTAAGTCATTTGGATACAACCACAAACTATTTCTACAATTCTGTAGTCTAAGATCAAGACAGAAGCAGGTGTATTGATGCATGATTCTAATTAATCTTATTAAAAACCTGGAGTCAGATATTGGGGTAAAAACTGAAAGATCAAAGAAATAAAGGACCAGCCACAGTCACCTCTTATCTCAGTTGCTCAGACCGAAAAGGACCAAGATCCTGTCTCCTCCCCCACCTTCTCACTTCCTGTCTGTCTGTACAGGCCCCAGACCTCTATGGTTAACTAGTGGCTAGCTCCACCCTCTGGTCTCCAGTCAAGCTTTATTTGTTAGAACGTAAACAGAATATCACAACAATGTATGGTCAGGGCGTATTCTCAGCTCAGAAAGTGTCACCTTAGTGCATTCTCATTTGGTGAAAGAGCTTAGATACCTCCCTGCAATCTCCTCATAAAGACACCTTGCCCAGATCACTTCCTCAAAGGCCCTAACCCTTAATATTGAATAAGCACTGATGTTGTGGTTCCAGCATAGTTTGACAACACCAACATTCAGACTAGGACCCTGCTTTCTGAAGTGTCACAGTAAAGCCAGTGAATTTAATTGTAAATATGGGATATGAATAAACTAGTCTTTGTTGTCTGGGTCTGCCATTAAAAACAAACTGAGCAGCTTAGAATAACAGAAAATTATTCTCCTTAACATTTTGAGTTCTTAAATGGCAACAGGGTTATGTTCTGTCTAGAGGAGAGTCTATACTTTCTCTCAGCTTCTGATGCTGGCAGATCTTGACATCCTTGGTGTACAACTGCAGATTTCAGTCTCTGTACCCATCTTCATATTTCCTATGTCTCTCAATTTTAAGATACCAGTCATATGAGATTAAGGGTGCCCTTAAGTCTGGTACCGCCTAGATTTACCTGTTTGAGCCTGATGTGACCATATTTCTAAAATACTGAATTTCGGTTTAAAAATTATATTGAATTAGATTACTCATCATAAAGCTTTAGACACCAGTCATTCAGTTTCAAAAATATGTAAAATTTATTTTTAAGGTACTTAATTTAATCTCTATCATAAATTCTTTTTTTAAAGATTTATTTATTAATTTTGTATACAGTATTCTGTCTGCATGTCTACTGCAGGCCAGAAGAGGGCACCAGATCTCATTACAGATGGTTGTGAGCCACCATGTGGTTACTGGGAATTGAAGTCAGGATCTCTGGAAGAGCAGTCAGTGCTCTTAACCTCTGAGCCATCTCTCCAGTCCCTATCATAAATTCTTAATAATTGCCGTTATAATTGTTTGGGGGTTAAGGAGATTAATCAGTGGATAAAGTGCTTTCTGCTCAGGTATGAGAACCAGGGTTGGATCCCTAGTACCTTAGAATCATGATTGAAACCCCAGAGTTGGGGTAATGGAGACAAATGAGTCCCTAGGACTCACTGGCTAAGTATTTATTGTAGCCAACCTGACAAGTTCCAAGTTCAGTGAGAGATCCCTCACTGAAAGGGGTGGAAGGAAGAACCATGTAATACAGGCCTCTCTCTCTCTCTCTCTCTCTCTCTCTCTCTCTCTCTCTCTCTCTCTCATATACACACACACACTCACTCACTCACTCACTCACTCACTCACTCACTCACTCACTCCTATTTAGGTTGATGGTAAGGTGAATTGAAGACAGGTCCTTGAGTTCTAGCCCAGGCTGTCTTCAAACTTAATCCTCCTCCTTTTTCCAAGTGTTGGCTCCCATACATTGCTGGTTAAGTTTTTGTATTATTTAGAAAATAAGCACATACTCTGGTATTTGTAGTCTCGTTGATTTTCTGCTACATTTAGATTTTTACCAGTATTTAAAGATAATTCATTTGACTTAACTTTGTGGTGTTAATATAAAACTTTTTATCCATGCTTGGAATTTTTGTGTCATGACAATAAATTTATTTGCCCTGTTCTTCATGCCTTATGGGATTATGGTCTGTGAGTATGCTGTTAATATTTAGTCACTATGTGTGATAGATGTTTGGCTTACTTCCGTTTAAAAACATTGTATCACATACTAGTGCAACATTTTCATGGTTGTAGATATAGAAACAGAGCTGCTAATCAAAGAATTTTAACTGCTTAACTCCTGATATAATTGAACAGTAATTATTTTAAGCTTCCACCAGCAATTGGAAAAAGTCCTTATTAAACCCACTTTTCTCCCCAGCTCGTGAATATCATGGATCATGTCTTTTTAAGATTTGCTAGTCAAATAGTCTACAGTCCTTTTTCCCAAAAGATACCTAATTAGGTTGTACTTTTTCACTATGACTCATTGGCTCTTTGTATTCTCTTTTCTCCCCATTGCTCTTTCTTTTACCTTTTACATATCAATCACTTTTTCCTTTTGATTAATTTGATCCCCATATAGTAAAGAACTATAATAAATTATGAGTTTCACTTTCAAATCAATAAGTTAGTTTATTTTTAGTAATTCAGAATTTATAAAGTATCTCTTGTTAATTGGTAAGAATAAAACAATAAGAAAATATGTTTTCATGGAAAATTCATAATCTGCTTACTAAGTCTTTTAGAAAATATTGTCTTGTTTATAGGTTTAGCTAATTTTACATTATTTCCTTCTGAACAGGATAATGCTGACCACAGAATATTTCAGAAAACACTCAAATTGTGTCGTTTCTTGGCTAACTCCCTTTTGCACTACATTAAGGTAAGGTCCAGTTTTATAATACATAAATGTAAAACAAACACTGAAGTTTAAATTGTCCTATTGTGTATGGCAGGGTGGGCCGCATGTGTGTACACATGAGGGTAGTAGTCTACATGGAGTGTGTCTTCTTCTCCTCTTTACCCAGGTTCATGAGGCAGGTCTCTCCCTGAGCCTGTTGGTTGACATTATTGGTAACTTGCTAGTGAACTCCTGGAATTTGTCTAGCTCTTATCTCCCAATGTTTGAGTTACAGTATGCTGTGCCATGACTGGCTTTTATGTGGATGCTGCTGATTCAAACTCAAGTTCTTTTTCTTTCCTGCCAAGTACTCTTATCCAATGAACCATCACCGTACTCCTCAGCTTGCCCAAACCAGTCATTTGAATGTTTTTTGAAGTTCATTTTGAAGATCTCATGGTTTAATACTATTGATTGTTAAATATTGAACATCTGCTATACTGCTTATTGATAGCATCATCAGATATTTTCATTTAATTTTCTGAAAATTATTTATGTAAGTAAACTATAGTTTTTATAAGCATAAGTCAGTTAGAAGGAGATGACTTAGTTTGTGTTTAAATACTATTTATAAAGCTAGAGGTTGGTAGCACATGCCTTTAATTCCAGCACATGGGAGGCAAAGGCAGGTGGATCTTTCTGAGTTTGAGGCCAGCATGGTCTACAAAAGTGAGTTCCAGGACAGTTAGGACTGTTACACAAAGAAACCTTGTATGTAAAAGCCAAAAACAAAACAAACAAAAAACACCCCCAACTATTTACAAGTTATTCCTACCATATTTTGGAGTTAGGGTCAACTTTAAACATTCAAACCCTTTATCCACATATATCCACATACTTTCTCCTTCTGGTATTTTCAGAATGACTGTGGTATTTGAAGTTAGAAGAATAGGATAAATGACAGCAGTGGTGGATCTCTGAGTTCAAGGCCAGCCTGGTCTACAGAGTTCCTGGACAGCCAGCGATACACAGAGAACAGAGAAACCCTGACTCAGAAAACCAAAAGAAACAAAAAAGGTTTTCCAAGATTGTGCGGAAAGAGGATCAGACATTGAAAGAGACATTATTATTAAAGGTGTTAGTGATTGAAAAGCAAAACAAAACAAAAAACTATTACCCAAGTTACAAATTTTAATTTGATGTTTTTAATTCTTTGATGGCTTCATGCATGTATATCATGCATTTTGGTTACTTCACTCTCCATTAGTTTTTCTCGTCCTCCTCTCCTGCAGAGTGAGACTTCTTCCCAAGTCCCCTTCTACTTTGATGGTCTTTTTTTTTTTAAGGTTTGAAAACATTTTTGTTTTTTTCTCTTCTGGCATATCCTCCAAGATCCACCTGCCTCTCTAGCCACCCCTTTATGCCCTTTCTTGGTGAAAAAAAAATTCCCCCAAAATACCCCCTCCAGTGAAAATTAAGAGAGACAAGCAAAAGGCTAATAATACAAGAAATGCCAAAACTAAACAGCAGAGGTGGTCCTTAGTGTCAGCTACTAATTGTGGGTGATGATGGCTCTAGTAGCCAAGAAGTTTGGATGCTTACCCTCATCCTCCATTTTCATGTAAGCTTTCCTTTTATATTTGTTTGTGGAGTGTTCAAGTTTTGTTCTGTATGTTATGGGTGGAAGGTATGAATTAGACATTCATGTGACATATGAAGAATGAGTAGAGTTTCTTTTTCTTTTTCTTTTTTTAGGAATTTCTTCCTTTCCTGTCTGATTCTTGCTGTACTTTACACCAGCTTTATCTTCAGATATACAGGTAAAAAGGAGTGCCTTATGGTTACTAAAATATGCCAGTGCTACTCGAGCCATGTAGACATGCATACTTATCTACTAAAGCATTAGCATGATTTTTCTTAACGTTGGAGTAAAGTTTGTCTACTTGCATAAAATATTGGGAGATGGAAGCTTTTGAAAGATACATTCCATGTGAGTTTAACTTTGTTTTTACTAGTTTCTTAAAATGACAAATAATTGGTATGATGATAAATACCAAAACATTTGTGTATGGGTATATTTTATTTAGAATATATGTGTATATATATATGTACACACACATACACACACCTATGTATGTATATACACACATATACAGATGCTAATATACACACATAGATTATCATACATAATGCATATTTACATTTGTAACTGCATAGTAGAATTAAGTTAATTTGGAGGGTTTTAGCAGCAGATGGAACGCAATAGACAGAGGAATAGTGAACTTTAAAATGAAGTCAGCAGGCCGGGCGGTGGTGGCGCATGCCTTTAATCCCAGCACTCGGGAGGCAGAGGCAGGCGGATCTCTGTGAGTTCGAGACCAGCCTGGTCTACAAGAGCTAGTTCTAGGACAAGCTCCAAAAAAGCCACAGAGAAACCCTGTCTCGAAAAAACAAACAAACAAACAAACAAAAAAATAAAATGAAGTCAGCAGAAGTGGCAAAGACTGAAGAGATTATTAAGGGCATGTAGGAGAATATAAAATAAAAACATGTCAGTGTAGATTCACTAGAAGAGAGAATAAATTTAAAAAAAATGGCCATAATGCCTAAATGTTTTATAACTTTAAGGTTTTTTTATTTGTTGTTTGTTTTGTATAAGCTAATGCCATGAAGTGCCTTTTTTATTTGTAGAGTTTTTTTCAGCATGACTAAGACGCGTGTAAGATATGGCATTTTAGACTTTATCCACTAATGTTTACTGGATCATTCCTGAGGAAGAAGTGTAAAACCAAGAGCTGGCTGATATTTGGAAAGAAGTTGTGAGAGTCAGGAAGGTTTAGAAGAAGGGTATGGAATAACGGGAGAGCCTTTCCTCATGATATTAAGTTAACTTTATGTGCTTTTGTGGGTCTGTACCCAGGTGCAGGTGACTTTAACTGGTGAGCCACCTTGCTGGGCATAGCTTCGGATAAAAGTAAAAATAGTTCTAAGTTTGAGAACATCTTCAGCTGTCAGTTTTCTCATCTGAAAATTGAAGTAATAATAACTCCTGCTTCAGGGATTTTATTTTGATTAGGGTAACTGTGCCTGATGTGGTGCAGTCAGTTTCTTCTTGCCTCAGCTCCAGTGTTGGAACATGGAAGCTGCCCGTATGAAGGCACTGAGAAGCCATATCCACACAAGTTCCTCGTTTTTCATTCAGCTAGTTTTAGAAAGCTAGAACATTCAAGGAATAAGAGTACCTGTCAGCCTTGTATATTGTACAAGTATATTGTTATAATTTTGTCTTTATTAATTTTATGATAGTTTTATGAGCTTTAAATTAGGTTTGTAAACTATATGAAAAGGTCTTCTTTAATTAGGGGTTAGTCACATTGACTTATCTTCGAGCTCTAAATTTAATACTGAAACCTGACATCTGTCAATTCATTTGCCCAAAGCCCTAAACTTCTATCCATAACTTTTTTTTTTGTTCCTTGATGTTAATTCCTTTTGTCACTGAGAATAATGGAAACAATTAGAAGAGAGCTTATATATACTCTCTCCTTGTACCCGTATTTAGGCCCATATAGTAATTCCCTCGCTGCCCTGAATTAATTGTGCATGTGCCTGAGGCTACCTCTTTGTACTCTGAATGTAATTTTCTTACATGTTCAGGCAATTCCTGCAGGTAGCCCTTTCTCTTTTGCAACATTAACCTACCCTCGCTGCTGGTTTGTTTTCATGAGTACGTAATACGTGCTACTTACAATTTTCCCCATTTCAGTACAACAGTTCCTCAGTTGTACATTCTTTTCCAGGTTTTCTCTCATTTATTGCATTGCAATCCTCAGATGGCTTCCTCAGAGACCTTCCTATTCATTTTTCTTAACTTTTTTTTTCTGTATAGCGATTAACATTTGATATATCACAGTAGATCCTACAATTCATAAGGAATAAAAAACCTACAACTGTTGCCTGAAAGGCAAATGATACTGAATTCTTTACTGTGCTTTCTTATACATATATAAATACATACCTATAATAGAGTTTATGTCTAATAAGAGAACCACTATAGTAATAGTATATTGTTAAGAATTATGTGAATTGGTCTGTCTCTCCAAAAATATTTTGCTTTGCTATAGTTACCTTTTTGATGTGAGAAGATTGGATATCTTGTGGTTCAGTGAAGTTAGGGGAATGACAGTTATTATGACATGACAATAGGCTACTGTGTAAAAGTTACTTGAGAACTAGTATGCCATGCGTGAACAGTGGAGCCGATGGCCTAGAAGCTGCCTAGTGAACTGTGGGGTGGCTGATGTATACAGCAAAGCTATACTGTACAAGGGAGGATTCGCATCACAGGCAGGGGAGAGCAGGATGGTGTGAGATTTCATCATGTCCCTAAGAACAGCACACAAATAAAGAGTTGTGCTCCCTGCCCCCCGCGTCTTTTAGATGGTGTGACTCCAGGAAACTGAAATCATAGAGAAGAGGAAACTGTTACACAAGTTTACTTTTTTACTTAACTGTCCCCTCTAACTAAAATATAAACTATATAAAGGGCAGTGCTTCCTATATTCTTTTTAGCACTACCATAATACCTCCTCCTTAAACAGTGCGCCCTGTTACATAGATATTTAAACATTTGTGAAGTAGTGTACAAATACATCATGAAATTGAAAGATATTTAGATGATTAGTTGTAGTTCATATCTGGAATTTTACTACCTATATTTTATTTTATTCATCTATTATTTATTTCATTCTTCTTAATAATTAGGCATCTTGTTAACTATGTGTCACAGAAGAAGGAATACAGGAATAAGGAGATGAGATTAATGAACAAAGTGACATAGATATTTGGCTATATATGAAATAGGGCTTTTCTTTGTCATACTAGAAAGACTTCAGGTATTTGTCAGGTGCATCCTTTTAAACGTTATATTACATGTTAGAGAGTTTGCTTATAATGTCACACTTACCATAATTAAATATGAAGTAGCTGCAAAAATATTGAGTACTTATTATATTTCATATAGTTTTTAATTGAAGTTAAACTTCATTACTGAGACATTTCTGTGAAAGTCTTTTTAACCCCCTTTAGTGTTTGTATATTATTTCTTAAAAAGCTTTAGCTTCTAAGAAACAAAATTGATAATAGATTCAGCATTTACCTATTTTTGTTTTGTTTTGTTTTGTTTTTCTCTGTTTAACAGTCCTGGATGTCCTAGAACTCACTTTTGTAGATCAAGCTGGCCTCAAACTCGCAAAGATCCTCCTGCCTCTTCTTCCCCAGTGTTTGGATTAAAGGTGTACGCCATTACTGTCCCGTGCATTTACCTATCTTAAAGTATCTATTTTATCTTATTATTAATTTATTCAATTAATTTATTTATTTTTGATTGTTTGAGATAGGGTCTGTACTGACCTCAAATCCAGTGTAGTCTTCCTGGCTCGGCCTCTTGACTTGAGGTTACAGGTGTAAGCTATTAAAAACAATTTTCAAAAGAAGTAAGTAAGCCAGAATATATCAGACCTATCTTTTAACATTTTACTGGTATATTAAATATTTGTTATTTACATTTTTAAGGTTACCTCATCAAATGGTATTAAAATGCCTCAAAATAGTACTATATTTCTCTAGAAAATATTTTCTCTATAGAATTACAGCTATGCTATGTAGTCTCTAGGTCCTCTTATCTTTCTACTACCAATTCAGTGTGTTGAGCCTTTTTCATATAAAATACGTACTTTTTTATGCTTTTTTTCACTACTGTGACATGAACTTGTGATACATTTATTTAAATCCAGAAGATCACTATTAAATACGTGAGGGTTTTCACCTTTGTTTGCAGCAAGTTTCCTCCAAACCTGCATGCTGCTAGGATGTCCAAAGCACTGCAGGAGGAAATAGCAGGCGCTTTCCTTGTGTTACTGGACCTACTCATCAGACAGCTGCTCACATCCCAGCCTTTTGTACAGGCAGTTTTGGATAGTAAACTAGGTAAGCTTCAAAACAGATTTATACCATCTCCTTGATATGACATGTCATATACAGTTGTTTCCCCTCAAGCAGTCACTATTTTGTGAAATTTGAAAATTTTATTTAAAATTCATTATACTTTTATTGAAACATCACCTATTAGTCGTACTTTCTTTGTATAAAACTATCAAATTTCTGCTGAAAATATTTTGGATATATTTACCAATTTGTTTTAACATATGACTTTATTACTGAAAAGACCTGCCCTGTGAACTGCAGCTCCCACAAGTCCTGCTCCTGGTTGTTGTCATGGATAAGTTGTGCTCTCAGCCTAAAGATGTACAGACCCTGTGGTGCACAGAAGCTATGACTAGGTAATGTTTTGCTTATATATAATCATATTACCAGTGGTTTAGTGGGCTCTGATCTTAAATTTATGCTTAAGCCAGACATGGTCTGTGCCTATAATCTTTCCTCTGCAGGATGCTGAGACAGAGGAGCACTTGAACTTAGCATTTTGAAATCACCTTATCATATTCTGCTTAATAGCTATTTTGTAGAAAAGCTACCATGTAAAAGATATAAAATGTATATAACTGATGCTAAAAATATTTTAATTTTATTCACTGATTATTACCCATTGGTGGCACTAAAAACATTGGCTATAATGGATATAGATGCAAATAACAGCATGGAAGAGTGAGTTGCAATAGGAGCTGGAGAGATGGCATATCTGTTAAGAGAGCTTGCTGCTCAATCATGAGGCCCAAAGTTTGGATCCTAGCACCTATGTTTGGTGACTCCAGCCTTAGGAATCTGACACCTCCGGGTTTCTCTGGATGTGCATGTGCAGATACACTCACACAGATGAACATACAGGCATATGCATAAATCTTTTTTTTAAAGCTGTGATACTGTACAGTGTCTCTTAGGAAACAGCACTGGTCTTCACCCTTTTTCCCAGCACTGCAGCACAAGTGCTAGTTTGTTATAACTGGATTACTGCTATGCTCCTCTTTTTTTATTCTTCCTCTTGGCTGGTCTGAGGTTCAAACTGGTATGCTCACAAAAAGAAGTAATGTTCAAACTTTGAAGTTTTGTGACCTGTTCTGTTATTAACTTCGACCTGATTCCTTCATTAGAATATATATAAAATATTTCTATTACTTGAGAACCATATATACATACAGCATATTTAGATTATATTCACCCACCCATCTCACCCTAAATTTTCCTAACTTTCCATTCATTCTCAGCTTTGTATCCTTATGTATTTTTATAACCCACTAACTTCAGTTTATGCTGTCCATTTGCTCACGGGTGTGTGGCTGTCAAATGGAGTATGGTCGGCCAACCAGGGGTCATACCCTTAAAGCAAACCGACTCTCCTTCTGTCAGAAACCATCTACTGTCAGGAGTGGGGACTGTTGAGACACTTGTCTCCCTGTCCCTGTGCAAGGGTGTAGATTAACTTGGTCTTGTGCAGGTCTTGTGTAGGTAAGCACAGCCTCAGTGAGTTTGTAAGTGCAAAATCCTGCATTTCCCAGAAGGCAGTGTGTGGTGCCTGCCTGCCCATGCTCTGGCTTTTTAAGACCCTCTTTTATTTATTTATTTATATTTATTTATTTATTTAATTTTTTTTATTGAGAATAAGAAAAAAAAGTTTCCGCGTCCTCCCAGCCTCCCATTTCCCTTCTCCTCCCCCATCCTCCTCCCCCTCCCCCCACTCCTCTCCCCCTCCTTCTCTAATCCAAAGAGCATTCATGGTTCCCTGCCCTGTGGAAAGTCCAAGGTCCTCCCC